TAGTAATACCACATATATATAGAATACTTATAACACTTTGTTTATTTGCTTACTTGTATTTATTATTACTTGCATGTAGTACCATTCATTGTTAAGGTGAATCATATGTATTGTTAAAGTTGATTTGAGTTTTGTAAAAGAAAAAAGTACAATAAAGATGTGTGTGTGTGTGTGTGTGTGTGTAAAAGGGAGTGAGCAATCTGTAACAAGGGACCGGATAACTTCACAACAAAGATATATATGGACAAATTTCATCATCTTCTTTTAATGACCCCATACTCCCTTGCACGGTGGAGTCTGAGCAACTGAATGGAGCTAGCAGTGTTTTACTGGCCGGATGCCCTTCCTGTCGCCAATGTGGAGTTTTGTTCAGCAGAGATATTCTCATTGTGCCCAGAGAGAGAGAAATATTCGCCTCTACCTAGGATCGAACTCATAGCCTGCTGATTGTGAGGCGAGAGCTCGACCTCTAGGCCACCGCACCACACTCGATATATGGACGAGTTTGATTTCCATTTAAATTTGAGGTGTGGTTTTCCCACCCACCATGAGTCAAGTTTTCCTCAAACCATTATAATGGTTTGTAAGCTCGGCTCCCAGAGGTGCTTCCTTTAATTTCCCAACTCCAGGGCAGACGTGATTTGTCTCCTCCCTGGATGATTCTTGACTTCCCAGTCTGGCCCACAGCCCTGCAGTTTGCTGGTGGTCTCCCATCCAAGAACTCCCATCCAAGAGATTTGATGGGTCACCACTACAGCTGGCTTAGCCAGTGGAAGTGGACTCACCTACACAACCCAATGAAGTACCGTATTTTTCGGAGTATAAGACACACTCCCCCCCCCCCAATAGGTGTCATGCCCCTGTTGGAGACTGACTCCGAGGGAGAGGAGGAACAGCCGAGAGGGAGAAGAAGTGTGGCTCCGGAGGTTGTGGAGGAGGCTGGGGAAGGACAGAGGCCGGATGAACAGTCAGAGGAAGACCCAGGCCCATCCCCTCTTCATCCTAGGGCATGCAGGGAGGAACAGAGAAGGGAACAACGTGGCTTACGGGAGAGGAAGCGGCCATGATCCCCCTCATTGGCTTCAGCTGGGGGGAATAGTATAAAGGAGGGGTGTTTAAAACATAGCATTGCTAGAAGCAAAGCATGTTTTATTTCTGGCTGAGGTTTATCCTGGTTGGCGTTCTTCCAACAGACTGTGCCTTGTTCTCTTCTTGAAGTTTGCAATTATTTATCCTGGTCTGTCATGAAAATTCCTTCAGTGGGGTTTGTTTTGGTTTTTTTTTATTTCTCCGTTATCTGTTCTTTGAGTTTGGACTGTATTTCTTTCTTTTGGAAACTATTTTGGAAAGAGTTTAATCTCCAGCTGCGAACAGTTGAACAGTGAGGCCAAGTTGGAGGCATTCAAGGACATTTATTTACGTTTGGGAATTTATTACGTGTGTGCTGCTTCCCGGGTCATCACCCCCCCCCCCCCCCCAAAGTTTGTGGGTCTTAAACCCCCAATATTGCAGGGGGGGGGGGGGGAAGGGGTTGATGCAGCGCTGACCAGCTGTTCAAGAATGGGCCGCGGCGAATGGGCCACGAAGAATGGGGGGTGGGGAATGAGAGACAGCGGGGAACGGGCAGATGAATTCTGGATGGATGCTGGAAAGCAGGGGCAGATTTTTCTTTTCTTTTTTTCCTCCCCAAAGGCTAGGTGCGTCTTATACTTCGCATCTTATATACTCCAAAAAAAAATACGGTAATCCGTGGGAATGAAATGTGAGGAAAGAAAGGGAAGTCCTTACCTGCAAAGGGACATAAGTGAAGTTAATAACCTGGACGGGGGTCCATACTTTCCAGTTCATCTTTAAGGATGTCCAGTAGCCAGATTTTACCTTTTTGGAGAACTCGGACAGGTCCTTCCCCTGAAATAAAGACGGTTATCAGTGACGTGCAAAGGAACAATAAACTGTCCCGGCCCAGCTCCCAAGAGGTAACAAAACCCCCACAGAGTGAAATCGTTTTCTAATACAATAAGGAAGCCTCACTATACAACGATCCTGCGAGGTAGGACAGGCCAAGGAAAATCAGAGGCACAGAGTAAGTTTTGTGGCTGCATTAAAAAAAAAAAAATCACTCAGGTTTTCTTTTGGAAAGTGGTCCAACTTTGAAACCCTTCCAATGGTTGGAAGGAAATGAAAAGGGAACCCCAAACCTGTGAATTGGGGGACACGGTTTTGAAAGATCCTTACGCGCCTTCAGCCTCCCCCTCTCTCTCCCACGGTTCTGGAAGTGGTTGGGCAGCCAGAAACACACTGCTTGCATTCCAGGTGGGCTTGGAAAGCACTTTGCCTTATTGTAGCTTTTTTTTGGTTTTATTTTGGTGACTTCAAATTGGGTTTTTTTTTTTGGACTCTGGTGACTTCCTGGGCAAGGACCTAAAGTTTTCTTGGCATGATTTCCCCTTGTTTGCTTCCAAAGACTGAGAAGGGCCTAGTCGAAAATCAGCCAGCTGTTTTTGTGCCGACAGCAGGACAAAAGCCCAGGGTCACGTGATCACAATTTTGTGACCTTCTGACAAGTTGGATTCGCTTAGCATCCTGTTCTGACCAAGGCTTCCTGAGAAAGTAACAATCACAAGCTGTTCCCAAAAAACCTTGTTTTTATTTCAACGGCTGTGAATTATATGCATTCACAGCCCATAATGAGTCCCAAAAAGTTTGTGAATAATTCAACAGAAGTCTGCCACAATCCTTCCGGATAAGGCTGATAAGCACCCACCTTTATCTCCCTTGAAATGCTGCCAACGGCTAGATTGCCAATTAACTGTACAAGGCCAAATGGTACACAAATTCAACATGGAGCTTCAGATTTTAAACCGACCAGAACGAACAAAGTTGCTTCCTGTAAAGGCTCTTGTCCCTTTGCTCCTCCTTTATGTCTTATGGGAGGGGCCAATCACCTCTAAGCCTTACTCTCAAGCACCCCCTTTTGTCTTAACTGTTCTTGCCTTCTGGCAGCTCTGCGCATGTGCGCACTGGGGACAGGCTCCCCCTGTTCCTCTGCTTCACTGATGTCAGATTCTGGAGGCTCCAGAGTCAGCACATAACTCTCAGATGGCCCTGGCCCTATCTCTGTGTCGGACGCAGATCCCCCGTCCGAGTCTTCCCCATATTCCATGACTGGCCCATGTTCCTCCCCACTGTCCGACTCTGCTGCCAGCTCCACAGGCCGCTGGCGGACCACAACACATCTGCGTTGCTAACTCATCAACCACAGCAATTGACTTAACAGCTGCTGCAAGACAGGTCATGACATGGAGCAAAACTCACTCAGCAACAGAAATGTGGGGGTCAATTATGGTCCAAAGTTGAAGACGACTGTATTGTACTCATCGTCCTGTAGAATAATGCAATTGAACTCTCAGAACGAAACGGGCAAAACCTATGAATTGTGATTCATAACCCTGGCTCTTGATTTTACCCCGTTGCTTTAAGAAGGCAGGGTTTCCCAAACAGAACAACTTCAAGACTGAAAAACCAAGAAGAAAATAATGGAATGTGCAGAAATGAGTAAATTGACATTAGAAATTAGAGAACAAGAAGATAAAGAATATTATAAAATATGGAATTTATTTTATCAATGGTTAGATAAGAAAATAGGGAAATAAAATATGTTACAATATAAGTATAACATAATAGTAAAGATAAGACAACATAATGATATATATAATGATTATAATGAAATGAATGATATTATGAATTTGGGTTTGGAAAAGTTGAGATTTGCTCGAAAAGGATGATGTGAATTTATAATTATAGTCTAATAAGGAGTTAATAATAATAACAATTTAATATGTATTGTTGACCTATATAATATGAAGTTTAATATAAACTAGAAGAGAAAGACTTCTGACATTGTGCACAAGAGATATGTACCAACCGACACACCGTATAATGGAATGATAGTTTTATTTAATGTTTTTATGTTTGTATTTGTCAATGTTTGTTGTCAAAATAAATAAATACCGTGTTTCTCCAACAATATGGCCCCCCAATAGGAAGACCCAGCATGTTTTCTAGGCATAAAATGAAATTAAGCCCCTCCTCCCAAATTTAGGCCTATTTCAAAACATGCGAAATGGGGGGGGGAAGGGCGGGGGGAACTTGCCGTTAGGATCGCCCCGCAGGCAGCCATGCGTCACCACCCGCTGCTCCTAACAGGTGATCATGGCGGAGCGCGGAGAGCTCTCTACTCCCGCCAAGCACCTTTGCTGCAGACCCGAGACTTTCGGCGCCCACCGCTGCTGCTTCCTCCACTGTCGTTGCTTTCCCTTCTGTCGGTGCCACTTCTGCATTTGGAGCTGCCATTTCTGCGTTTAGAGCGACGCCATCATTTGGAGCTGCCGCTTCCGCGTTTGGAGCACTGCGCCGTTTGGAGCGCTGTTGTCATTTGGAGCTGCCGCTTCTGCATTTGGAGCTACCACTGCGTTTGTAGCACCGCCACCATTTGGAGCGCCGCCGCTCCAAATGCGCTCCAAATGATGGCGGTGCTCCAAACACGCTCCAAACGGCAGTGGTGCTCCAAACGCAGAAGCAGCAGTTCCAAACGTGGCGGCGACACGGGCAGAAGGGAAAACAATGGCGGTGGAGGAAGCAGCAGCAGCGGGCACTGAAGGTCTCGGGTCTGCAGCAAAGGTGCTTGGCAGGAGTAGGGAGCTCTCTGCACTCTGCCATGATCGCCCGTTAGGAGCGGCTGGTGGGGAGGCATGGCTGCCGCTTTAGGTGAGGATGCAAGGGAGGGGGGGAATTAAGTCACCCCTGAAAAGATGGCCAAGATGTTTTTTCGGGGCTCAAAAAAAAAATAAGACCTGGCCTTATTTTATGAGAAACATGGTAAATAAAAAAGACTGAAAAACAAGACTGGCAAAAATGTACAAGGATAGATCTGCTAAATGTTGGAAACACAATCAAATATTATTACCATATTACCATAGGTGGTGGACATGTCCAAAAGCCAAAAAAATTGGACAAAAATACATACTTGGTTGGGAAAAAAATGATAAACCGGCATATACCTATGAAACCAGAAATATTTTTATTGGGCATTCTACCAGAAAAATATGACAAAGGGACTATATGCTTGATTTTACATGTATTAACTGCACCTAGAGTTGTATATGCTCAACAATGGAATGTGATGAGATCCTGGCAGATGAGAGTGTAATTAAGAAAATATTAGAATGTGCAGAAATGGATAGACTAACGCTTACTATTAAGGACAAAGAAGAAACTGAATACTTTTTGACATGGGACTTATTTTATCAATGATTAGACAATAAAAACAGAAGTTAAAAATGCAGGGACATAAAAGGAGAAATGTTAAAATGGAAATTTGTTAAAATACACAAGCTAAATATTATTGTTATTATAGTATTTGTTAGGAATCTGTCCACCAATTAATTGGGTTGGCAATATATAAACCAACAATGTATGTTTGTAGCTTTAAGACAAAATCACTGTATTGATTTATACTATATTCCGATCGGTTGATTATATTGCAAATTACCATAAGAGGGAGCTAGAGATCATAGCTTGCTTTCTCTGACATTCTGTTGCTGTCTAAGGTTCTCTGTTGTATTTATGCTGTGCTTATACTTTGATATCTTTGTTTACTGTAAATGACAAAGGCAACCGGTAAGAAGACTTCGTAATTGGATATACTTTGGACTGTTAAACCTGGATGACCTGGACCATTGTGCTATTTCTTAAAGTAAATTTTAACTCAATGTAGTGTATCTGTGTGTGGCTGGATAATTATTCATAACTACTCTCATAAACGTTTCCATGTGCATATCCTTGTTACTCAAGAGTTATTCTGTACATATCATAACAGTATTAATGTTACTGTGATGAATGCTATTGTAAATATTTTGATTATGACTGCCTAACAAACAATTATACCCAGACAACGCACTGTTTGGAATGGAATGGAATTTTTATATGTTATACAAATAAAGTAAATAAAACAATGGGGGGAAAGGGGGGAGGGATGCTGAAATTCCCAGAATTCCCCAGCCAGAATCTGGTAGTCCTGATGACCTAAATACCCTATCTGTATTGATTACCTGAAAGAAAGAAAAAAAATCCCAAGCCACCCTTCCCAGTAAGGACAGTAGAACTGGATATGTCCAAGCAGAAGTCAGACAAACCATCCATTCTGCATCAGTGGTGGGATTCAAAAATGTTACTACAGGTTCTGTGGGCGTGGCTCAGTGGGCATGGCATGGCTTGGTGGGCGTGGCAGGGGAAGGATACTGTGCTGGTTAGACAGTATAGAGTTAGTTTGGGAATGAGAGCTGTCCCCTTAAGGGAATGCTTCATGGGAAATGTAGTTAATGCCTCTTGGGAGATGTAGTTCATGTCACGTGGTCACATCTGTAATCCTGATTGGTCACTGAATAGATCTCTGGTTGGGCTGAGGTGGTTTTTGGGCATTATCACCTGGACCCTAGCATCGTGCTGGAGTTTTCCTTTTCTATAACACTATGGGATGAAGATAACCATCTTTTCACACTATTGAGGCAACTATTAAAGCAAAGATTGGACATTAGATGAATCTCAACATAACTGTGAGTTATACCTTGAGGATACCTGATATAATCCAATAAAATTAACTTTGCCTAGAAGCCTCTGTAGTGTTGGACTGCTTGTCTCTATTCAGCCAGAAATTGGAGAGAAGAAAGTGAAATTTCTGTAAAATCTCCATTCCCTCCCCACTCCAGGGGAAGGATCTTGCAAAATCCCCATTCCCTCCCCACCCCACTAACCTGCTTTCCAGCTCCATTCTCCCATGCAGGGCAACAAAAGGAGACCCAGCTGAACAGCTGGGACTCAATGGGAGGCAGAGAAGAGATGGGGTTGGCGGGGCCACTCAGAGGTGGAATTTGCCGATTCTCCGGACTACTCAAAATTTCCGCTACCTGTTCTCCAGAACCAGTCAGAACCAGCTGAATACCACCTCTGATTTGGATTCTAGCAAGGGGAACCGGAGTTAAACCGGCTGCCCTCATTTCTAGAAGCCCTGGAGCCTCGGATCATCCCTAATCAAGACCCTACCTCCAAAAAGTTCATGACCAGGAAAAAGAGGGCCAGGAAAGCCGGGGAGACAATGAGACGATCCACCAGCAGGCGTTTGACGAGAGAAAAAGGCGTGTCGGAAGGAATGAGCTGCTCCAGGTAGAGGTAGAAGTAATGGCTGAGCGGTCCAGTGACTAAGAAACTGCAAAAGGAACAAAACGAACCAATTATAAAATCCAGCCTCAAACAGATTAATATTTAATAAGCCGCAAAAAGGAGCTGGCTGAGCTGCTGTGACATCATCCAAGCCCCAGGAAGCCTTCAGGTTACTCCTGGGAAATTGGCCATCCACAGAACGTGGAGTATTGTTGCACACTTTGCAGAACAAGTGAAAGGTAGGGATGGAAGAGAGAGGAAAGGAACTTCAAGACAAGACAAAGGGGGAGAGGTGCAAAGAGAGAGAAAGCGAGAAAGCCCCAGCCAAGCGGACAAACGGGGGAGAGATCCAGAGAGGTAGGGTGTAGAGCCTCCTGCCTGGGTGGGGATGGGGGGGTTGAACTAGATGACCTACCAGGTCCCTTCCAACAGACAGAAGGACAGGAAGAAGATAGAAAGAGAAGGAAATTCAAGGAAAGCTAGAGCTAAGGGGATTGCCATCTGGAACAGAAGAAGAGCTTTTAATTGGACTTTGGAATAAAATGCACAAGAAGTTAATGGGGTGTTAATAGGCAAAGAAGCACTGAAGCCCAGCAGCCACAGCCAGAATGGAAGGGGACTGACAGAGCTGCCATCCTTGGCTTGCAACTAGAGGCCGGTCTGCCATCAGCCATAGGGAAAGGGAGCTGAGGGGGAAGACAGGGGAAGGGGAAACCGAAAGCCATCTCCATGACATCCCGAGACATCTCAAGGAATGGGAATGGGAATGCAACACCAATCCATTTTTCCAACCATCATCGCAGGGACAGCTACCAAAACATCTTCTTCAAATGTGCCTGGAAAATGGGATGATAACAGAGGGGTATTGTGGCCCACCAGCAGCCAATGGAGCTGGCAGCAGACTCGGACAGTGAGGAGGTTGGGGAGGAACATGGGCCAGTCCTAGCATCTGGGGAAGGCTCTGATGAGGGCTCTGCGTCAGAGGCAGAAATGGGGCCAGGGCCGTCCGACAGTTATCAGCTGCCTTCGGAGTCAGACATCAATGAGGCAGAAGAACATCAGTGAATTTGACAGTTATTAGCTGCCTTTGGAGTCGGGAGGAAGATGACTCAGTTTGGCACCTCTGGTTCCTGTCAGAGTCCATACAAATTCCCACAACATTGCTTCACAACTCAAGCACTCTTCCCCTCCCAAATGCTCACACCTTTCCGGTTATGGGAGTTGCTAGCAAGCTTCGAAAAAAAGCAAAGATAAGCAGCTGACAGAAAGTTAACTAGGGAGTTTTTTTTATTGCTTATGTGGGAAAATCTCAGATTCAGCTTCTGTTAACTTCTGTAACCATTTAAGCTTCAGTAAAGTATATGCTGTGGCCCACCAGCAGCCAGCAGAGCTGGTAGCAGATTCAGACAGTGAGAAGGTTGGGGAGGAACATGGGCCAGCCCTGGAGTCTGGGGAAGGCTGCTCTGCGTCAAAGGCAGAGGTGGAGCCAGGGCTGTCCGACAGTATCAGCTATCTTTGGAGTCGGACATCAGTGGGGCAGAAGAACAGCTGGAGCCTATTCCCAATGTGCGCATGCACAGAGCTGCCAGGAGAAGGGAACAGCTAAGGAACAAGGGTCGACTCGGGAGTAAAGGCACAGGTGGACAGTGAATGGTCCCTCCCATAGGGACTAAAGAGGAGCAAAAGGGGATTGGGGCTTTGCAGGAGGCAATTAGTTCATTTGGGTGAAGATCTGTTCCTGCATTCTTGCCAAGTATTGTTGGCTACAGTATGGCATCAGCCTGCCAACTCTCCAAGCCTGATAAAGGTCTGCAAGGACTTTTAGCCGGGACTTTGCTGGAGAGGAATTCAATGCAAACTAAATAAAAGGGGTTTTATCAGGACGAGGAGTCTGCTTCATGATTTTGGGAAGTCTAAGTCAGAACAGTGTATACTTTTGGCAAAACAAATGGCCAGGAGCCTTTCTTTGCCAGATGACTGAGTGGGACGGTTGACATGTTGCCCCTGAACCCATTCTCAAGCTCTAAATGCCAATGGCAACAAATGGGGGTGAGGGTTGCCTCGCCAATTTTGGGAACGTAAGGCTTATTGGAGAGACTGCATGACATAACAACATCCAAAAGGCAACGCCAGGGACGAGATCTCCTCCCAGACTTTTCAAACCACACAAATTGCTTGGCTGCACCTCCCGCGAGCTTCTTCTTCCACCCGTCCCCTCTTACCCATAGGTAGCAAACCGGAGGGGTTCCCGCCAGTCAAGGCGCTTCTTTTTCTGGCTCTTCGCAATTAGTTGAGACAGGAGACTCCCTAGAGCGGACAGGAAGGCACTGTGGGAAGAAAGGACGCATAAGATAAAAACATAAAGGTGTAAAAAAAGACATTGAGACTCTAGAAAGAGTTCAGAGAAGAGCAACTAAGATGACCAAAGGGCCTGGAGACTAAACCATAACGAAGAACGGCTGCAGGATTTGGGTTTGGCAAGTCTAAAGAAAAGAAAAGCTAGGGGTGACATGATGGCAGTGTTCCAGTATTTGAGGGGCTGCCACAAAGAGGAAGGGGTCAAATTATTCTACAAAGCATCTGAGGGCAGGACAAGAAACAATGGATGGAAACTAATCAAAGAAAGAAGCAACTTGGAGAAACTTCCTAACAGTGAGGACAATTAACCAGTGGAACAAAAGTTGCCTCTAGAAATCGTGGGCGCTCCATCACTGGAGGTTTTGAAGAAGTGTCTAGACCAGGGGTAGTCAACCTTTTTATACCTACCGCCCACTTTTGTATCTCTGTTAGTAATAAAGTTTTCTCTAACTGCCCACTGGTTCCACAGTAATGGTGATTTATAAAGTAGGGGACAAAACCCCTACCGCCCACCATGAAAGCTGGAACTCCCACTAGTGGGCAGTAGGGACCAGGTTGACTACCGCTGGTCTAGACAATTCACTTGTCTGAAATGGTATAGGTTCTCCTACTCGAGCAGGGGGCTGGACTAGAAGACCTCCAAGGTCCCTTCCAGCTCTATTCTATTCTATTCTATTCTATTCTATTCTAAACATACATTGTACAGCATTCATTGTTTTAAGATACTTTTCTGAAGGGCTGCAATCCCATTGTCCAGGTTAATGAAAAGACGGATTAAGGACTGAAGTGACAGCCGTCTTCCCGTATTTGAGGGGCTGCCACAAAGAGGACGGAGGGGGTCAACTTATTCTCCAAAGCACCAGAAGGCAGGACAAGAAACAATGATTGGAAACTAATCAAGGAGAGAAGCAAACTGGAATTAAGGAGAAACTTCTTAACTGTGAGGTCAACCAGTGGAACAGCTGGCCTCCAGAAGCCGTGAGTGTTTCATCACTGGAAGTTTTTAAGAAGAGATTGGACAGCCAATTGTCTGACATTGTATAAGGCAGGGGTCTGCAACCTGCTGCTCTGGAGCCACATGCGGCTCTTTCGGCCCTCTGATGTGACTTCCTATCGGCTGATCCCACTATTGGCTGGCTCTTCCCCGTCACTCTCCTGGCTTGAGAAAGTAAGGGTCATGGCTGGGAATGGAGACTTGCTCCATATTCCAGAGCAGGTGACTGGGTGGGAGTGAGTGACATGGAGTTGGCCACACAACCACACAAGTCATACCGGTTGTTAAATTATTGGCCCGTGGAGTTTTCTTTTCTGTGGGAAACAGGTCCAAATGGCTCTTTGAGTATTTAAGGTTGCCGCCCCCTGGTATAGGTTCTCTTGCTTGTGCAAGGGGGGGTGGACTAGAAGACCTCCAGGGTCCCTTCCATCTTTATTCTGATTGATTTTCTTGGGGGAGCGATTCTTCCAGCACAGGAGGGGGCTCTTGAGAAGCCTGTTCCATATGCTGATTGATTCTTTGTGGACCATGGAAGAGATGGAAGGGGAGTGGGGGAGAGAGAGCGAGGACAATTAACCAGTAGAACAGCTTGCCACCAGAAGTTGTGGGTGCTCCATCTCTGGAGGCTTTTAAGGAGAGACTGGACAGCCCGCTGTTTGAAATGGCAAAGGGTTTCCTGCTTGAGCTGGACTAGATGACCTCCAAGGTCCCTTCCAGCTCTGATTCTGAAAGAGGCGTCGGGAAGGGCGGGCAGGCGCACGCACCTGGAGGCGGCCTTGGTGAGCACCGGATAAAGGCGGAGGAGGAGCAGGTAGCGTGTCAGCAGCCGCCGCGATAGCGGCACCGAATCGGGCTTAGAGTTCACCGGAGACATGCCCGCAGACCTGGCGAGCCCCGCTGGGCATGCGCCTTGGCGGCCGAGGAGCCGCGCCTCCGCCTCTTAGCCAATCGGCGCAGGGGGAGGCAAAAAAAAAGAAGAAGAAGAAGTGAAGCTCCGGTTCAGGCAACGAATGGGCGTGACGGAGGCGGGCTCTTCGCTTACTATTGGCTGCCCGAAGGAGGGTGAAGGCAGGGTGGCAGTGAAAGATGACTCATTTCATTCAATCGGAGAAGAGAGGGCGAGGGCGGGACAAGAGCATTAGCGAATGGACTGATAGAACGGAGAGGAGGGACGAACACAGGCAGCGGGAAATGGAAGGGACGGCTCTTTAAAGAAAAGGAATAATAAACTGCTCCTCTCGTCGCGTTGCAGCGAGACCCAGGCGTAGAAATCTGATTGGTTTTTAAGGCCAGAAGTGTGGAACCATGGCCCTTTTAATGACTTGTGGACTTCAACTCCCAGAATTCTTAAGCCAGCCAAGCCTAGCTGAGGAATTCTGGGAGCGGAAGTCCACAAGTCATAGATGGATGGCTTCCCCATCCCTGATTTAAAGACTTCGGGGCGCGAGAGCTGCGAAGTGTCGGCGGATCTCGCGAGATATTCCGAAGCGCGCGAAAGGCGGGCGGGTCGCCGTCGAGGTCGCTGAGGGAGGACGACGGCGTCGAGTGGAGGCGGTCGGAGACGGGCGAGAAGGAGACTCCGCGGTCAGGAGGACCCGGAGAAACCCCCACCCCACCCCTTCTCGTGCCAGGATTCTTTTTTTTTTTTTTTTTTTCCTGTTTTAAAAAGTTTTATTACAGATTTTTTTAAAAAATCCCATTTCTGACTAAACAATTTTTACACAGATCTCAATTCTCTGAAGGAAAACGATTTAAAAAAAACATACACCACAAAATCAGATTTGACTTTGAAAAACAATTTTAAAGGAAAACGATTTAAAAAAAAACACATACACCCCAAAGTCAGATTTGACTTTTTGGGTCTTTAAAAGACAATCCTGGTTGTCCCTCAGCGGTGACCCCAAAGTGCTTTGCCTTCTGTAAGGAAAAAAAGAAAGAAAGAAATTGGGCAAACAGATTGAAGAGCCCATTCTTTTGCCAAATGACCCGGCTCTGTTTTTTGAAATGTCTGTGTTTATTTAAATCCGGGTTCCCAGCACATAGAACCCCTTCTATTTACTTGGGTGGCTCGGGGCACCCTGTCCGCCAGCTGTTGCTTTAACCGCTTGTCCAGATGTGCAACAGTCACGCTCCATCGGCAGCCACTGAATCGATGCTATTGAGAAGCGCAATGCAGCCGAAAGTTGAGAGGGAGGCCGGGATACCTGGGCGAGGGCCCGACAGCTCTGCCTTTCAAGGGGGTGTTTGTTTTCCTTGCTTCTGAAGGACTGCTGGGCTTGCCATGGTTCTGGGAAACGGTGGGAATTGCTGGATGGCCAGGGAGGAGGCCAAAAAAAATCTCTGTGGCTGTTGAAAGAAGAACGGCGACCTCAGATATGTGGCCCAAATCCACAGACGAGACTGGATGCACAAGATGGCAGAATGATAGATTGCTCCTTCTTTTGCAACTTGTTTGTTTTGTAACTCTAATCCACAAATAGGTGTGAGATATATATCAATATATCTGCCTGCCTGCCTGCCTGCCTGCCTGCCTACCTACCTACCTACCTACCTATTTATATGTCTGAGTGTCTACCTACCTACCTACCTATCTATGAATATGAGCCAGCAGTGTGCAACAGCAGCCAAAAAAGCTAATACAAACCTGGGTTGTATAAACAGGAATAGAATCAACTTCATGTGATGTATTGGTACCTTTTTATAGTAAGACTACACCTGGAATACTGCATCCTATTCTGGTCACCTACAAAAAAGATGTTGAAACTTTGGAAAATGTTCAGAGAAAAGAACTAAAGATGGTCAAAGTCCTGGAGACTAAAACATATGAAGAACAGCTGTGGGATTTGGGTTTGACTAGTCTAAAGAAAAGAATTAGGGGTGACATGATAGCAGTCTTCCAGTATTTGAGAGGATGCCACAAAGTAGAGGGGGGTCAACTTCTACAAAGCACCAGAGGCCAGGACAACAAACAATGGTTGGAAGCTAATCAAAGAGAGAAGCAACCTGGAATTAAGGAAAAACTTCCTGACAGGACAATGAACCAGTGGAACAGCTTGCCTCCTGAAATTGTGGATGCTCTATCTCTGGAGGTTTTTAAGAAGAGACTAGACAGTCACGTATCTGAAATAGTTGTAGGTTCTCCTACTTGAGCAGGGAGCTCTACTAGAAGACCTCCAAGGACCCTTCCAGTTCATCCATTCATTTCATCTATTATCTAACAGAAATCACTGGGCAAAGCACTTAACCCCTATGCATCCTCCCATTTAAGGATCATAACATTCAGGAGATGTTCTCTGTCTTGTTTCACCCATATCCTATTCTGGTCCTCCAGATTTTTTCCAGATTCCTGCCCCACCCCCCAAGATAATTTGAAATGCTGGTGAGCAGGCATGGAAACTGAATTAGCCAATGCATCCTCTCATCAACATCTAGAGATATAGGCAAATGGCTTTATCCTTTAAAGATAGCATCTCATCTGTTTCTGATTTGGAGGGAGAAAAATCACAGTGGATGTTTTGAAGATCTTGTTTCCTTGAGCTTTGAGGAGAGGAAAAACATGTTGAAGGGCTGTGATGTGAAGTTCAGGTCAGATGGGAGAATGACTTTTCTATAAAAGGTTCCTGCTAGTCCTCTCTCTTCCATTTGGTAAATGAAATTTCAGCTTCTAGAGTTGCAAAAGTTTCTTAAAAACCCGTTGGCTTAAAAATAAAATCCTCTGGTGCCTTTCTGTAAATTTGCAACATGATAGGTTCAGGAATATTTGAACTATTTTTGCTTTCTTACAGTTTAGGAATGGAGATGCTTTCCTGTCTCTGATGATGGCTCTTTCTATCAATTACAGAGTGATTTATTAAGAATACCCATTATGAGAAAGCTATCGCTTAACTGCAAGGTGGAGATTTCTTAAGGATTCCCCATAAAATCCACTACTAAAAGTTCTTACTTCTGCTGCTGTGAAAAGCAACATCTGTCTAAGTGGCTGGTGGTTGCTAACGCTGCATTATGGGAATGCTACATCTCAGCCTTTGGAGGATGCGTATGCGAAGTGGACAGGTTGGGTCTTTGGTGGTATGGGAAGTCCTCGAGATGCTTCTGGACATCCAACTTTCAACCACCCTTGGTGAGAAATGATATTTTGAGAAAACCAAAGTCCTGCTTATAACTTGGGAGGAAGCGAAGGTGATGGTGTTGACCATGTAGTTCCAGATGATATTGAAGACAGTGTTATCCATTAAAGTTTGACCAACTTTTGGTGATTCTGTGAGCCAGGTCTCTCAATGCCTTCCCATTCTTCCACTAATGGAGCCCCAAGGAGAACATAAGACAGAGGACAATGTTTTGAGCATAACAGTGTTCTAACAGAAACTCACAAATTCCTCAAAATGTAATCTTCAGCCAAATAGAAATGATTCGTGCATAATTTCTCACCTCATTGTCACTGAAGAACATCTAAAAAAGGTTTGATGGGCAGCTAGCTGACACAAACACTTTGAATTTAAGAGATTTAATATAGAATAACAGAGTTGGAAGGGACTTTGGAGGTCTTCTAGTCCAACTGCCCGCTTGAGCAGGGGACCCTATACCATTTCAGACAGATGATTCAGTGGGAGAAATGCCATCAGACATAGTCCTCTACGGCAATCCTCGACTTACGACCTCAACTGAGCCCAAAATTTCTGTTGCTAAGTGAGACATTTGTTAAGTGAGCTTTGGCTTATTTTACAACCTTCCTTGCTTCAGTTAAGTGAATGACTGCAACTGTTAAATTAGTAACATGGTTGTTAAGTGAATCTGGCTTCCCCCACTGACTTTGCTTGTCAGAAGATTGCAAAAGGGGATCACATGACCCTGGGACACTGCAACTGTCATAAATATGAGTCAATTGCCAAGCATCTGAATTTTGATCACATGACTGGGGATGCTGCAACGGTCATAAGTGTGAAAAGTCATTCTTTTTAAAATTGTGTGATTACCTTATTTCAAATATTACACAATTGGGGCACCAATCTCTCTCTGTGTGTGTATGTGTGTGTGTAATTTTCATCTACATATTTTAAAAAATACTTTTGGGAAAGGTAAACAAACACAGCAACACATTGCAGGAATTAATGAAGCTTGACATTAAATTTTGGGTGAATTTTGCACCCGTGTTCTCCAAGGGTTCAAGAGGATCCCTTACATCTCAGCAGTAACATTTCTCTACTGCACATGAATAATAAACCAGGAGACTGGAAGCCAAAGGGAGAAAAAAATCACAATATTTCTATATGTCAGCACAACATTCAAATTGCTGAAATAAGTCATGTATGAAATAATAACAAGGTATTTTTCGTCTGTACAGACAACATCAGCCTGGGCTAAAGAAAGGGAGTTGCAGGATGTCCTTGAGTTACAACCGTTTGCTTGTTGACCATTTGAAGTTACAATGGCACTGAAAAAAATAAAGACTGGTGCTTGCACTTACTAACACCATGCTCAACAATAAAAAAAGTCTCATAACCATTTAAGTTGTAAATGGAGGACTTCTCTGTCTTGAGTTACACCATTGGTGACCACAAGGTGGTGCTGTGCTTTATAAATATTTTGCATCTCTAAAATTGTTACTATGTTGATGGATATTTTTAAGGATTTATTTTCAGGGTAAAAACGTGCTTGATTTCTGATCTGATTGCAATCAGATCTATAGAAACTTTTTTTTTCCTGTCATGATTTTCTGGAGTGATCCCTTCCTGTGGCCCACGTAAAATTCAAGGCTGGACTATCTCCACGGTGTTGTAAGTTTTAATTTTAAATGATGTGACTGCTCTGGAAAGCTTAGATTCTTCAGCATCGGGAAATCCAAGTTGGGGAGCATCTATCCATCCATCTTCTTAAAAAAGAAGTTCCTTCTTCTGACT